TATATATATATATATATATATAATTAGGGGTCCCCGCTCCATCTTGCCATCAGTTTGGGAGGTCCTTGTCCTGGAAAACGTTGAAGACCCCTGAGCTACATGGTTCAAAGTGAGGGAAAAAAAGTAGCTTCTTATAGCCTGAAAAATACTGTATTTTTTATGTTTCCATTATTGTTTAGGCCTGAGTCTGTCCGCCTGCTATATATGGGCTGTGCGACTCCAAAACTGACTCTTTCCCTGGGCAATTGACAGATTTTATCTTTTCTTTTCCCCTAAACAGGATGTGTTTTATTATGTAACTGCGTCTCTCTTTCCACATTTGACTAAATTAGACTAGGGGTCTATCTCATCGGAGCTACGCAAACCACCTGTGAGAAAATCTTGTTGGGTGTTGTCATGCCCAATGCCTTTCAGTGAGTGCTAAATGCCACTACCTGGTAGCACACGGTTTTTCTGGTGGATCAGATGGAAAAATTTGATTTAGTGTTTCCAAAGATTTAGCCCCTCAGGGTCTTGATATTGTGCTCTTAAGAGGCATTTTCCAAAATATGCCTGGGGGTGGGGTTATGCTTTTACATTGGGGTAAGTTACACTTTAATGACAGCAGTCTTTATTTTATGTTCTCCATGCCTCTTATTGGTCTTGATGGTGATCCACTGACCAAGCATATTGGCTTGGAATTAGTATTGTAACCATTTCTATCTATTTTATATCTATTGACTTTTTAAGGACAATTCCAAAAACAGCTTGACTCTTGAAGTTGATAAGCACCTACGTATAAAACTATTTGCATGTAGAGATTAAACTTATTTTGCTCTAACTTAGAATATACATCCTCCTCTATGTATTTGGCTGGACCAGGAGCACATCTTTTTATCTGTGACGATGCAAATACATTCAGAGTTTAACAGACTAGATCGTTTTGAATATCAAAGTAGAAAAAGAACATTAAAGAAAAAAACTCTTTTGGTCGTACAAAATTAATTTAACATTTTGACAAAATGGCAAACTATGATCAAGACAAAACAGGAAAGGTATAATGAATACATATAAAATGCAACATAATTGTTTACAAGTGAGACAAGACATTTATGAAACATAAACAAGATTACAGCTATGAGAAACTGCTTTTTAAACTTGAGCCATCTGCTGACACACAAACCACTTCCTCATTATTTTATTTATCAGCTGCAAAAATACTCACTTAACTGGTTCCTGTCCTCTTTAGAAGTTCTGTCTGTGGAACAATTAGGCCTGGATTTTCTAGATATTTCTTTAAAGTTGCAAACTAAAAAATGCAGAAAATAGAATCATCAATTTTATTATTCATTAAATAAATTATTATTAAATAAACAGGATCAAATTTGTAATAACATGATTTAATATCTATTGAAACCTTTCCAATTATTACACAAAAAACAAAGCCTCAACACATGTTCTTCTGAGTCTGTGTGATTGATTATCTCAAAGCACAATTACTCAATTTAATGTCAATAAACGTGTGTTTTTCCACTTGACACCATCACACCGATTTCCTAAAAACAACAACAACCATTGTCTATTTATTAAATATTAGTGGGTTTTCATTATACAGAACCTCTTCTCTGAATTCCTTAGGTGTCATTTAGGGAACACAACTACACAGTTCTACCAAAAGGTTATAAAGAAATTAAGCAATATTTATTTATTAATTTGTTTCTTAAAGGACTTTTTAATTGATCATCATAAATTGGAAGAAATATGCTAAACCTAGGCTTTTCGGTTTGCTTAAACTGACCTACCCAACAAGGGGAGCATTGATCGGAGAAGCAGCCAAGAATTCTGTAGATGAATGCAAATATTTACAGGTGGGAGAATACGCCTGAAGAGTTACTATTATTTCTATTTTCCACACTAGTCTTTATTGAAGAGTAGCAGAAGAAAGCCCTTGGTAAGAGAGAGCCATGGGAGGTTCTATTTGTAGGACACAACTCATATAGCAATTAACATCTAGAAGAATTTGCTTGAACACTGCATATTGCTATATCAGATTATTAATTATTATGATTAATCATAATGGTGGCAGTATCATGCTTTGGAGATTATTTTCGTGAGTATAAGTAAATGAAAGATAGATAAAGAAGATATTTGACTGGCTGCAGAATACATTATTGCATTAGTGCATCATAAAGCTGTAGCAACAGCTGGAATGAAAATGTCTGACGTATTCATGTGTTCAAATAAGCAGTCCAATTATTACTCTTTTATTGCAATTTGTGTTTGCACTGGTTTTGGTTTTCAACTCAGTGTACTTACTTATTTCTCTCTCTGTCTATCTATCTATCTATATATATATATATATATATATATATATATATATATATATATATATATATATATATTATATTATAACATACATATGTATACATTAACAAATAACACAAGACAAGCAATCACTGAAGTCAGGTGTTTTCTGTAATTTACAGGAAATATTCAGACTTCTTCACCTGCTGAAATATAGTTAGGTCACTGTTCGTACTTGAATTTGTTGGGGGCAGTTAGTGTTTTAGATTTATTATATGAATTTTATTTTACAAAGCTATGATTAAATCAGTTTTTATTTATTACTTCATTTTATTAAATGGGAACAGTATACATACATATATATCTATATCTATATAGATATAGATATAGATATATAATGTGTGTGAGTTTTAAACTGAATTGTATACTCAATCCTAGAGCAAACATGATTTCCTCAAAGAGAAAAAAAATCCTTTAAAGCATTTAAAAAACAAAGCATGTTTCAGTTCAGTCATAGCCCAATGCCTGAATAAATAAACTAACTGTAAAGCTTTAAGGAAAATCTTGTTTGACCTTTAGTGTTCTGCTGCTGCAGTACACTAAATATATATATATATATATATATATATATTTAGTGTACTGCAGCAGCAGAACACTAAAGGTCAAACAAGATTTTCCTTAAAGCTTTACAGTTAGTTTATTTATTCAGGCATTGGGCTATGACTGAACTGAAACATGCTTTGTTTTTTAAATGCTTTAAAGGATTTTTTTTCTCTTTGAGGAAATCATGTTTGCTCTAGGATTGAGTATACAATTCAGTTTAAAACTCACACACATTATATATCTATATCTATATCTATATAGATATAGATATATATGTATGTATACTGTTCCCATTTAATAAAATGAAGTAATAAATAAAAACTGATTTAATCATAGC